CTCTCTCTCTCTCTCTCTCTCTCTCTCTCTCTCTCTCTCTCTCTCTCTCTCTCTCTCTCTCTCTCTCTCTCTCTCTCTCTCTCGCTCTCTCATCCAATCAATCAATCTCTCTCTCTCTCTCTCTCGCTCTCTTTCTTTCTTGCTCTGTTTCTCTTTCTCTCTCTCTCGCTCTCTCTCTCTCTCTCTCTCTCTCTCTCTCTCTCTCTCTCTCTCTCTCTCTCTCTCTCTCTCCCTCCCTCCCTCTGACTCATGATTCCATTCGACAGGTGCCTCCTAGCTCAGGGTTTGGATGTTAGACTGATTCCTGGCTCAGTGATCACTGACTGATGCAGACACACACAGAAGCACACAACACATATGCACACACGGTCGCAAATCAGCTTGGGAACAGGTCGGCAAAAACCCGCTGAACATGGAAGCCCTGAAGAAGGAGAGCGAATCGAGTCAGGATCGGACCGTGGAGAAGTGTGTCAAGGCAGGATTTCGTAGTCTATTGCAATGACTGACCTAGACTTGGTCCCCGCAATCGCACTCCAAACAGGCTCTGACGGACGAGCAGCTCTTTGGGATCTTCCGCTTCGCCCGCCAGGTGGTCACTCCTTTCAAAGAGATTTGCTTGCAACTTGTGCCACAGCTGCACAGCATTTCTGGTCACACTGCCCGCAAAAGCATACCAGCTAGCTGCAGTTCGCATGTCGTCATGTTGTGTTTGCAACTAAGCAAAAAGAGCAAAGCAAGAAGATGGCCCTGCACAACTTCACGCTGCATGCCAACACGGACGAGCTGGAGCTGAAGCTCTCCACCCTCGCGCAAGAGTGCCTCTCCTTGAAGGTTCTGGACATGGCGCCGGATGTGGCCGTGAACGGGCAGGGCATTTCAGTGCAGTTTGATCATGATGTGTCTGTTCTTGTCTTCTAGACGAGGAACTATTACTTAGCCAAATCGTCCACCGCTGAGGCGGTCACCCCAAGTGTTCAATATTGAATCAAATCCACGTCAAGAACAAACCGAACAAACTCACGCAGGAACCAGGCACCACTGAGCCGGATCAGTGGACGGTCGCCGAAAAACGTGTAAGTTGCAAGGCTCACCGATTAGAGCACGGTATAGAAATAGACATACTTACTACTTAACAATCGTAATGAATATTCAGCAATAATAGTCACATAATCAGCGGCGAGTTGGGCAGCTTCTCGAGCACTGGGTTGTCCGGATGGTATAATCTCTACAGATTGTAGCGGCAACCGTACATATGAAATCAACTATAACAAAGCAATCATCACCTCTGACTCAAGAGGCCACGCACACCACAGTGCTGGATTACTTGCTTTTTGGGTTTGGTGATTCAAACACATGAATACCGGCTTCAACGGCTTGATTGCATTCTTCACTGCGAAGACTCGAATGGAGAACATCTAAACCTCTTGTTGGGTTTTGGAGCAACGCCAGTCGATCGATACGCACGGCATATTTACCAATCACGATTCATTGTTCATTTTCGTCCAGTTTAGCAATCCCTCCGGCCCCGGGCCGATACTCATGAGCCAAGCAAGATGAGCATCACAATCTCAGCATGTCAAGCCCTTGTCGCGAGGCTTTGGTTGTGCAGTTCCGCCGGTGCCACACTTTTGAGACAGTGCTGTCTGAGTCGGTGGGGATGTACCTTTGTGCAGCACTAGAGCTTTTGGAGCACTTCCTCTACCTTCGGTCCTCGCCGTCGAAAGCCGCCGCTCTCATCGCCCCTGAATCGGAGCCAGAGATCAAGAGGCTCATTTTGAGCCAGATGAAAGCCGAGTGGGAGATGGTCTTGAGGCTTGAAAAGAGCTCGGCCACGGCGGCCGAGTTGCACGAGCACTGCCGGCACGTGTGCTACCAATGCTACCGCGAGCTCATGGCGGCATGGGAGAAGCACGGGTGGAAGGAGCATCCGGATTGCCTCAGCCTGACTTTGTCGTGGTACCCCGAAATCGCATGGTCCGCGAACATCGAAAGCCTGTTCAAGGAGATGACGACGGCAGTGAAAAGGTCTGGCCAGAGTGATGTGGGCTCGCTCTCCAACCTGATGGCTGTTGCGATCCGTGGGCTACATCGTCGCTTGTGCATCGGCGACGACACCGCCGCACCTTTGAGCCTCGTGAAAGAGGATTGGTGTGGACCACAAGCTCCCGCACTGAAGCCGAAGATCTTCAATCCCACGTCGGCCCCGCCCTGCCGCTTGGATGTGAGATTGTGAATGATGATATCCTTTGTGCTCTCTCTCACGACGTTGGCCCTGCTCGCTTTTGTTTTTTGTGAGGGTGTAGAAAACGTCTTGTCGATTGCAAGGCCAGAACATCTGCTACGACAACATTTGCAGACCGTTCCCGTCTACCTCCGCCTTCCATCACAACCACGGGGCTTTGAACTACATGTCTGGTTTGATGCTTGCAGATTCGTTTCTTGCCTCAAATAGACAAGACTGACAGGGAGTGAGAAATGACACCACAACACCCGAAAGCCAAAAGTGGCAACACGCAGAGTTCCGCTTCATTACGCAATCCTTACGCCGCCAAGGATGGGACGAGATCCCCCCGCTGAGATTCCGAATTTCTGGGTGCCCGAGACCATCTTTCCAGGGATCCTTTTCTCGCAGGGTGAGAGCTACTTCTTATCCTTGGGGCGAACACCGGCGATCCTGAATGCTCTTGGGCTGTGATTGATTGAAGACTCATTTCCCTTCGCTCGTGCGACATTAGGCCCACAATCCATCACAAGAATCTGAGGCTGTGCAGCTGAAGGAGTTGCCCTGGTCCTTCCAGGGTCCTTTGCCCGCGATGCAGAAGGATGAGACTCGCATCCCGGCAAGCGAGGACTTGAGTGCCGAAGATGTGCTGTCAGCGGATGAGAGCACCCGGGCGCTGACGCTGAACATTGGAAGGCGGGGCTGGACTGGATGTTCCTTGGGTGATATAATCGCATGCAACATGGATTGCAGGCATTTGGTCTGCAAGCTGCTCGTGAAGGCTGACGAGGCTTGTCAAGTAATTACGTATTGAAGTCGTGATTTGATGCGGCTTTCGGCTTCTGAAGTTTCCACCAACAGTATGCCCTCCAGGTGCGATGTTACGATTACACCACCCACCTGTGCGACCAGAGCCTTGGAGAGAAGTGTGGCACGAACCTCGTCTTGCGACGGGGCAAGAAGGCCTTCTCGCTGATGCCTTTTCTGGTGGAGAAAGGCTTCATCCTGAAGCTTACGAATGCCAGCCTCATGGACTATCTTGGTTCCTGTGGCCTCCGAATGCCGAAGAACACAACGAAGGCGGCACGAATCAGAAGAATCCTCCAATTGGACAGCATCACTCAGGAATGCAGTGCGGACAAGATCAGAGATGTTTTGGCAGTGCTGGACAAGCAGGAAGAGAAGAGAAGAAAGAAGGAAGAGAAAGCGAACGAGCCAAGCAACGAGGCGCTAAATCCTGAATCCGCCATTTTCATGATTTATGTGTACTTTCATCGAACACATGACTCGCGAAAACCATAGAGCCAGGCGGAGGAGATCCACTGGGAGGAGCTGGAAGAGGATCCGGCTGCAAAGGCATGCAGAGAGCTCCTGGTTGGAATGGGCGATGATGAGGAGGATGATGTATCTACCCTGCACTTGTTTCCACCTTCTCTCTCTCTCTCTCTCTTGCTCTCTTTCTCATTCTCTTTCGTGATTCTTTCCGAATTTGCACTGCAATGGCTTTCGAAACAACCGAGGTTCCACCGGAGGGGGGCGACGATTTGGCGATTGCTGCGAGAACCCCGCCTACAGCTGCAAGGGTTTCCAGGGCTGCTCTTTCGACGACGACATCGCTCCCTCCAGAGCTCACTCGAGAGTTCCCCCTTCCCGAAGGGACGTCGATGCATATGGTGACCCACAAAGATCGAACACTTCCCCACTTCCAGGGAAAGCTCCTTTCTGGGGAGATCTTTGATGGAAAGAGACTTGCCCGCAATTAGAGCGAGTTTGGTTTTCTTCCAAAGTACTATCTAACCGAATCTTACCCAAGGAACTCATGCGCCGCCAGCTTTAATGGTGATCTCCCGGTGTGTGGTCATGACCCCAAGAAGAAGACGCTCAAAGCAATTCCAGCTTCACGAAGGAACAGAGATCAGGCTTACTATATTGTTTGGTGGTGGCTGAAGCAGGCTACCTCGCAGTCTCGCCCGAAAGCGGCGAAACGAAAGAGGGAGGCTGAGGGGTGATGCTTTTCCGGAATCCTGATAGTGTAACTCAGATGAGAAATAGTGGCTAAGTTCATAAAAGACGCGGGTAAACCTGCGAATCCGGGCAAGCATCGTCGGGGATCGCTGCAAGCAGCAACCAGCATTGGGGAAAAAAAGACGGCCGAGCGAGCACCCAAACATGTTAGAAACACGAAGGGCGAGCGAGCATGACAACTGAAAGCTCTGATTAGGGTTTAGGGTTCAGGTTTGGCATTCAGGGGTTTCGGTTGCAGGGTCTGTCACGGAAGAGGTACGTCGTGACCCCTGAATTATGAGGTACATGTGGTATGCCGCTCAAAACAGTAAGGGTTGAATGCACAGGACGGGTCGGAATGATACATCATAGTATCCCTGTATAGCTCCTGTACAAATATGGGAGTTTCCGAAAATGGGGGACCCTAATTGTAATACCCTAAATAGTAGGATCCTAATTATAAGGACCCCGCAATCAATTATCCCTAAGTTTCGGAAACTCCCGTATGGGCTAATTTCGAAAACGCTATTCTACTCATGAAGACCCCATTAGCCTTCATCTACGAGTCCTTAGAGCCCTAGGGAAACCAGCCGTTGCAAGGTCACCCAAATCTATTCTTGTCATCAAGGCCCCTATAGCAGCCCCTAAAGCCTAAACCCTTAAATCCTAAACCCCTAAACCCTAAACCAGTAAATCCTAAACCCCTAAACCCTAAACCCCTAAACCCTAAACCCCTAAACCCTAAACCCTAAACCCCTAGACCCCTAAACCCCAGGTCACCCAAACGGACCTGCGCTACGGCGACAGCCAAGAGAGCCCAGAGTTGGGCAGGCGCTTGGACTTTGGTTTCGGTTTAACGTATCGGAGGCCTCAAACCCAGACCTTCCAAAATCCCTTAATTAAGGAGTATACCTTAAACTATAATAGGATCCCTAATATGAATTAAGGTATATTCCTAAATTAAGGGGTTTTGGAAGGTCTGGGAAAGGTGGGATGAAGGTAGGTGGGATATTTCCAAATAAGAGTCCTTATATAAGGGATCCTTAATCCTACCTACCTTCATCCCACCTTTTGAGGCCTCCGAGCGTAGGGGCCGTAGTAAGTAGAATAGGGTTCCTTTAAAGGGTTGAATAGGGGCCACTATATCGGCTATTCTAAGGGCGTAAGATAGGGGCCTTAATAACTAGAGTAGGGTTTGGGGGTGTATTCTTCTAGAACTTCTAATCAGGAACCCAAAAACCCCGTTCTACTTATTAACACATCCCACAGTTGATAGCTAATGTAAGGGCCAGTAGAGCTAGCAACTTCCCTAAACGCCCCTGTGAGTTATATTCTAGCACGGCAAGCCGCAAGGCCACAATGGAAGCCACTACCCAGAGAGCCCAATACCCCTTAATTTAGAAATATAGCTTAAATCTTAATTAATATGAACCCCTATATAATTTAAGCCATATTCCTCAATTAAGGGGTATTGGGCTCTCTGGGTAGGCCGTAGCAGGCCCCTATGTTTCACCTTTCGAGCCTCCACAGCCCTGGCACCATCGAGCCCTGAAACCTTGAGACTATTCACCCCCTACAGTAAACCCCATAAAGTTGGAAACCTGATTAAGGCCAAATAGTGCTGGAATTCCCTATACATTACTCTTACGGATTGAGGCTATTGGGTTTCCAACTTTTGGGCTTCTACTGGTAAACCCTAAACTCCGATTCCTAGACGGGAAGAGTTCGAAACCCTCAGGCCCAAAACGCTTTATGCCTCACCTCCCAGACTCCAACTATGAGGTTCGGGCCTTGAGATAGGGTTTAGGGTTTCGGGTTTAGGGTTTGGGCACAATGATATTGCTGAGTTGGGCTTGAAGACATACAGGGATGTCGTGCATGTTCATTTGCAATAGACCGTAACTCGAAGCCCAAAGCCCGCCGTGGGGATCTAGCCCAGAGGCTCCACAAATTATTCTACCATTTCGGAATTATATATAGGTCCCAGAGGCCTTTCTTACTATGATTTTCGGGGTCGAATTCAGGGAATCTCTTGGTATAGTATATACTACCCTAAACCCTAAACTCTAAACCTCAACCCCCAAACCCTAAACCCTCTTGGTGATGTTTCGAGTGACCAGGCCGATGCAGGCGCCTCTGCTCCTGCGCTTCTTCCAGTGCAGCTCCGAGGCCCTTCGTAATGGGTTTTGGGGTTCAGGCTTTGGGTTTAGGGGTTTAGGGGTTTAGGGGTTTAGGGGTTTTGTGGTTTTGGGGTTTTGGGGTTTTGGGGTTTTGGGGTTTTGGGGTTTAGGGGTTTTGGGGTTTAGGGGTTTAGGGGTTTTGGGGTTTTGGGGTTCAGGGTTTAGAGTTTAGCGTTTAGGGGGAGTTGGGGGTTTAGTCAGTTTAGTATGGCAAATGGGTTTTGGGGTTTAGTATGGGGCAGAGGTACAATCAGGAATCCTAAGCAACAGTGTCGGAAGTTATTCACGGGCCTTGAGTTCCTGAGGTTTGGGAGGGTGTTTCTGGATTCACAAGTGGGTGGTTGTCAAGATTAGGGTCCCTTTTCGGGCACCCTATATAAATATGAAGTGCCGTACTATATTGGGGGCCCCAAAAGGGACCATCATTTTGACAACCACCCAAGTATTTTAGAGTGCATCTTTGCGGTGGAATATCATTATCGTAACCCCTTTAAGGTAAATTATAGGGGATCCTACCATTAGTCCATATTCCAACTTTCTGGAGTTCCCTTTATGGAACCCCAAAGAAGCAGAGAAGCTCAAACACGAGGTCTGGACTGCTCCATGATGCTGTTACCCTAAGGCTCTAAGGACTCATATATTGAGGGTTTTGGGCTCAAAGACCAGATTTTATAAGGATTTGGGGCCATTTTGAGCCTTAGGGTTAGGGTTCATGAGTCCCTGAACCTTATCCATTCGACAGCTTCGTACTCACGACCCGAAGCTAAGCTTTGTTTTACTTCAGGAGTGTCTCGCTTAGGCCCCGCATATTGTGGGACGTGAGCTTGTTTTTGCGCAGTTTTGTGCTTCAGGGCTGCAGCAGGGCTGCAGGGGCTTTGGACATTTGACGGTTTTGGCTTCGAAGCATTCAGAAACAAAAAGCATCCACAATAAGTCGCAATCCATCCTTCTGGCAGTCTAAACTGACAGAACATGTAAGGCTTTCGGCAAAGGCCGACGTGGTAGGACAGCCTGGAGCCAAGAGTCCTGGACCCAGTTTCGAGCCCTCAACTTTACCACCTGCCCAGAGACTCCAATAACAATAGCCCTTGAGATCTCTTGATAAGAACCCTTCGCAGGAATCCCTACTAGTAGTCACTACCGTTGTTTCCGGCGCCTGTCGCTGACCCAAGCGCGAGTTGGTTGTAGTGGCTTCGAGTTTTGCACTCCTCTCAGAAGTAGGTGCTGAGTGAACCATTTCTGTCGATCGAACTTCAACATGGAGGCGTCCCTACCAGTATTTCAAGACTCCTCCGTATTTCAGTGATTTCGAAGTCAGCACCAAAGGCGGAAGCTGGGCTCGAAGAGCTCTGCACCAGTATTCCGGACAGAAGTGCACGAACTCTGCAAGTTGTGAGATGGAGAGTCCATTCCATGAATAAGCATTCCGAAAATCCTAAACCGCAGCGCTATTTGGGACGAAAAGTCCGAATCAAGTAAGGAGCGATACTCTACGTGCACATCCTCGGGTCTGCCCCATGTGTCTCAAAGCTCCAATCTCCCAGCTCCTACAAGGCCCCTGGTGCCGTGTAATTAAGGACCATCATGTACGAAGTCATGCGTCCAAGCCCTATATACAAACCCTCAGCAATCAAACCTGAACTAGGATGCCCAGTAGTACCCTTATTCCCTTTTGTGGTCCTAGGTTCCTTACAAAGGTACCCAATACCAACAAGGGAGCCCTTTTTATTCCTAGGTTACTGGGCATCCTAGGGAACCTCTGCCAAACTGAAGCAGGTGGATGACAATGGCGGCGGGGAGATCTACATGGTTCACCTGTCTGCCTGGGGCCACACGCGAGATGCGAGCCTGAGCGTAAAGGCCCGGCGTCCATTTAGTATTTCACGTTTTGTGGGCTTTTAGGGTCCAGGGTGTACAGATTGTGTGCTTTTTTGTGAGGGTTTGGAGTTTGGAGCTTTACGGTTTGGGTATAACGGTCCAGGATTGAAGGATCCACGTTTGGAGCACTATTCAGGTTATAAACATGTGAAGCTTGTATATCACGTACTTTGGTGGTGGTTTATTGTGCCCATCGTTTACCTTTTTCGCAGGATCTTAGATCACCTTGCCTTGTAGCAGCAACTTAGCTTCGGACACCTAACCGTGAAAACTTGTTAGGCAGTTGTGGCGTCTGGCTCGGATCTGTGATTCCATGATGCTAGACGCTTAATAAAGAACCAATTACACCCTAAACAAACCCTACACCGTGAACGGCCCTAAACCGTAAACTTTGTAGAATGAATATCGAGGCGCTTGGAGTTGAACACTTTGAGATGGTTGCGGACGTGTACCTAGATCTGAAACCCCAACTCCAAAAACTAAGCCCGCACCCTAACCCAAACTGTTAGCCCTAAACCCCAAGTTCAAAATTCTAAACCCCAAACCTTTATTAACCCCAGCCAGACCTTTAACCCTTCACCCTAAAAACTCGTACCCCCAAGTCCCAAATCCTAAACCCGAACGCTAAACCCCCAAACTCCATGGGGAAAGGGTATGGGGAAAACCTTGTGGAACCGTAGGGAGCACTAGGGAGAAAGGTACCTGAAATCCCGAATCCTGAACCGAAAACCGTGCTGCAACACCAACACACCCTAGATCTCTTCCTAAACCGTCAACCCTCAAACCCAAACCCTCAAGGGTTCATCACTGAGACTCTCTGAGAGGTGTTGAAACCGGGCAAGTATCTTGCCATGGTCTCGATTCCCGCCCAGTATCTTCGCAGCAGATGGGGTTTTAGGGTTTAGGGTATAGGGTATAGGATTCGGTTTGAATTTTTGGGCTTTGGCTTTCGGATGGCAGGGCTTAGTTAGCCTAGAATGGACCACAATGGAGATCCTAATTTTGAGGCCCTACAGAAAGTGCCTCTATGAATCAAGGTTTGGCATCAGGGTTTAGGGTTTTGGGCTTGAGCTTTGTGCACATATGGTTTCGGGAACATTGAGACAGACTTTAGGGCTTCCACTAGCAGTTTGCAGTCTCCCGTTCGCTTTGAAGGCTTCTGTTTTTTTGGTTTAGGTCACAGTGTTACTTGCACATCTGTTGAAGGTCCAGCTTCAGAATAAAGTTCCAAAGCCCCAGGGTGTTGGTTTTGAGCCGGTAAATAGAACATGGATATGCCAAAGTCGGAGAGTACTGCAGTATCATCACGAACAGCGAGAGCAAGCTTATAGAGGGGGCCGCCGGAAACCAGTGAAGGTGGGGGCTATGGCTCGATTTTTCGGTTAGGTGTCTAATTTGGCGATTTTGATTGCGAAGTTCCTGAGTGCTGGTCGAACCCTAACCCGAAAACCTAAACCCTAAGCTTGGCTTCGAGATGCATACGCCCTGGAGACGCGGGAAACAAGTACTCATGGAACCGTTAACTGCTTGTGCAGCCATTAGAGCATCCCGCTTGATTACCAATGACTACCTATAGAAACCTTACAGAAGCCTGAGAGAACCCTTGTTGAATCCTTACAAAACCCTCATCGGGCTCGTTTTAGCTGAGGTACACCTGCCATCGGATGATCTTCCGATGTTACTCCACCCGGCCGTTGGCCACCCGGCCGCAGTTTGCTCATGGCTTGGGGTTTACAGCGGGGGTTATGGGTTTAAGAGGCTTAGGGGGTTTGGTTTAGGGATTAGGGGGTTTGGGGGGTCAGGGTTTTATAGGGTTTAGAGCTTAAGGTTTAAGGTTACTGTTTGAGGTCTTTATTGAGGCTGTTCCGTTTGTCATAAACTGCCAAACAGTAGGAGTAAAGCAAAACCAGAACTGCAAGTGCACTCATGGCACAAGCAACAGTCAGTGCTGCTCTTAAACTGAAAACCTGATATCCCCGATATCGGTCTAGCAAAACATATCGTATGCGTGTATGTATATCCGTACATTACCTAAATTTTGTATCTATGAATATGTATGTAGACAAGCATGTCATGCTTTTACGTATGTCTGTCTGTCTGGCCGGACCGTCCGTCCGTCCGTCCGTCTGTCTGTATATGTATGTGTACGTATGTAGGTACGTTGGTAGGTAGGTAGACATGCATACATGCGGCGTGTATGCATTCATGCAGGTTTACAGCTTACGCTTACATCCAACACACACACACACACACACACACTCTCTCTCTCTCTCTCTATCCCCCTCTCCCTTTCTCTCGAACTGCAAGCAATCTACTTGCACAACTTGCAGGGTACAATGGATGCAGTAAGCTTTTGCCACATCCTTATGGTGAGTGACGGAATGCACCGGCAAACCCGGTGGCAGGGATTGTGCATCAAACATCATCGCTCAGCTGCAGGGCGTGGCAACCCTAGTTTAGCAATCGTTTTATTTGCAGATGGAGGGAATGGTTTAGGGCTTAGGGTGGTTTAGGCTTGCAGTGCTCCATCTCTTGATGCTCAAGATAGGCTGATCGCCTGCTACGGATGCACCAAAAAATGGGAGTTTCCCAAAATAGGGGACCCTAATATGGTACCCTAAATGGTAGGAGCCTTATTATAAGGGCCCCCAAATAAGGTACCCCCTAATTTTCGGAAACTCCCAAATCATCTGCAAAGAGTGGTGGGCTGCGAGCGGCTGTTTCCCAGCCAGCGGCCGGCAGCGATTCCGCAGAGAGACTTCAATGTCGAAAGGGACCTTGTCAGGCCATGAAACTACCAGGTTGGATTTTGGGACATGTTTTCTCCTTATTTGGTTTTATAAGGGACCCTAGGTATGAATATTTTTCATGGTGTTTAAAGGCCAACCCAGACTAGCAAAAGCCGATAGGACCCGTTTCTCACACCCCTCAGGAGCCCTATAAAGCTAGATGCTGCAACCTTCATCCCCAAACCCGGTACCCTAAAGCTGGGCCTGCACTGCACCCCTCAACCCTAAACCCTAAGCTTAGCCCTAAGCCCTATGCCCTTTGAACTCGAAGCTCCTAAACGGCACAAGACCAAAAAACCTGTACGCCTCGATCCCGAAGCCCTAAGCCCTCGACCGTCTCATTCCTACACCCTAAACCCTAAGCCGTATAAACCCTCTAAGCCCTAAGCCCTAAACCCCTACATAAACCCTAAACCCTACCTGGACCCTACAGAACCTACCTTTTTAGGGTTTGTTATTATGATTTCCTTATATACGTCCTTAAAAAAGTAGGGTATTCCGGGTTAAAGTGAACACCTACATAAAGCCTAAACCCGAAGCTCTAAACCGTAAACCGTCTGATTCAGGTGATGAAGCCGATCACGCAGCATCGCTCGTGGATCGCCGTGAACCCGGCCATGCCTCTGCGCCTGGCTTGAACTCAGCTCCTCCCACCCTAAAGTGATATGGAGGTTTCGAAAATTAGGGGTACCTTATCTTGGGGTCACTTTCAAAAGGATCCTACTATTGGGTAGTTTGGGTTTAGGGTTTAGGGCGATTTGTTCTTTAGGGTTTAGGGTTTAGGGCGATTTGTTCTTTAGGGTTGAGGCTTTGGGGCTATGTGTTATTCAGGGTTTAGGGTTTAGTTGGGCTGGGGCTTTTTCGTGGAAGGAATATTCCTAAACTCCTGTCGCCCTAACCGATATGGGAGTTTCCGAAAAGAAGGGGCTACCTCCTTTTGGGGTCCTTATAATCAGGATCCAACTGTTTAGGGTCTATTGGATTCCCCCTCTTTTCGGAAACTCCCATATTCCGTCACGGATTGGGGCTTCCAGAAGGGAAGAGAGGTTCGGGTAGTGCTCAGTCGAGCACCGGCACACCCTGAAACCCTACCGCGCTGAACTGCAACCCCTAGACTGCCTTAGACCCTAAAGCCTAAAGCCCCAAACCCTAAACCCTAGAGCCCTAAACCCGAAAACCCCGAAAACCCTGCCCAAAGCCCCAAAACCCGAAAGCCCTAAACTGTATGTAAGCTCCAGGGCCAAGCCGGGACTCTGAACTAGCTGCGCAGAAACATGGCACAAGGTTTAATCTGAAACCCTGTTCTAGGGTTTAGAATTTCGGATTTAGGGTTTAGGGTTTAGGATGGTGTGGGGTTTTAGGGGTTGGAAGATTCCGCAACAAGAAAACGCAAGCTTTTGTGTTTGTATGCTGTATCGGGTTCTCAGGTTCGAGAAATGCAAGCCCCTTTTTGAACGTTAGTCGGCTTTGTCGGAACCTGATAGAATCCGAAACCTGCCCTGAACCGCACTGACCCTAAACCCAAAGCCCTCTAAGCCCAGTTTTAAAGCCCTAAAAAGCCTAACCTCAAACCGCTTAATTCTAACCAAACACCACAAGCTACCATCCTAACTTCAAGGAACTCAGTACCCTAACTATCCACATTACGGACCAGAAGGGCTCCATTAAAGGGTACTTGGGGACCCTGGAACGTGAAGGAACGCGATACCCGCTAATATACCCCAAATACCCACTATTCATGACCCACAACCTTAATACTCCTAGTTTCAAGTTCAAGGAACACGATACCCCTGAACCCTAGACCCTAGTCTATTCCTTAAACCCCAAACCCCAACACCCTAACTTCAAGGAACGCGCGACCCTCTGATGTACACATATATATATATATATATATATATATATCGTATAAACAAAAGCCTTTAAGGAACGCGATACCCTACTCGCTCTGCGGTTTCCAGCGAGTAGACGCCTTGAGCGAGAAGCTGCCGCAGATGTTCGACGAGGCGGGGAGAAGTTGAGGTTGCGGGTTTAGGGTTTAGGGTAGAAGTTTCGGATATAGTTGAGGCTCGGCGTGTAATTTATGATTTCGAGTTTCGTTGTGACGGTTTCGGATAGGGTTGGAGTGGGTTTCAGCCGCCCTGCCACCCTCTTCGAATGCCAGACTCTAGAAACCCTTTCACGACCTTCATTAAACCCTTACACTCCATGACTGTAGTAGGGGGCTGAATAATTCGGAATACTTGTCGTTTGGGGCTGCCTAAACTGTTCTGCTAGAATATCACCCAAACCCTATTCCAATCGTTGAGGTGTAAATTCCCTGTCCAAGCCCTGTACAGACATGAAACAACTCCCCTCAAGAAACCTTGCAAGCTCCCCTAATCCCCTAGTAAAAGCACATCAAGTTCTGTCAAAAGCATTTAGACGCCGATCAACGTCCTACAATCCCATAACACGCAAAGAAAAACTATTACAATCCAGTAAAACCCTAAGAAAAACAAATGTAGAACTATCAAAGCCCATTAAATTGCAACAAGAAGCATATGAAACACTAATATATATATATATATATATATATATACACACACATATGTAGTATGAAATATTTTAGTAATATATATATATATATATATATATATATATATATATAAACCCCAAAAGGCCCTCTGAGCCCGGACCTTTTCAGGCTGAGGGCCGTGGAAAACCCATGGCCAACGCTCAGCTGAGACCCGACTTCTCCGGCTTTGCCCTAGGCGCCGATGGGTTCTGGGGCTTTACGGAGGGCTCCATGAAGGGTTCCTTTTTTAAGACTTCCTCAAAGATTTGTTTCAAGGGTTCCTTGAAGAGTTCCTCAAAGGTTTTTTTTTAAGGATTCCTTTAAGGGGTCCTTTAAGGGTTCCTTTAAGGGTTCCTTTAAGGGGTCCTTTAAGGGGCCCTGAAAGGGTACTACAAGGTGTTGGGGTTTCAGGCTTCAGGGCTTTGGGGGCCTTCAGGGCTTCAGGTCTTGGGTTTCGCGGGCTTTTTAGGGATGACCTGGACCCTAAGGAACCTACCTTTTTAGGGCCCCCTAATATGATTTCTTTATAGAAGTCCCGGAAAAGGTAGGTAATTTGGGGTTAAGGGATGGCTTTTGAGGGTTTTCGAGAGGTTAGGCTGTACTTCTCCGACTTTGCCTTCGGAGCGCTCCGTTTGTACTTTTAGGTCACTTGAGAGTTCTTGTAAAGCTTCTATGAGAGCGGTTAGGGGCTTAGGGAAAGTAAGAGGGTGTATGGGACAGGTTTAGGGTCTAGGGGTGATGGAGCTTCAGTTTGGCTGGGTTTTGTAAGTGGGGGCATTCAGGGTTTATGGGGTTTAGGATTTAGGAAATTTGGGGGCAGGGCTTCTAGGGCCTGCAGGCATCACAGGGGTTTAGAGGCGTTGGGATTCTGTGATAGATAGATATAACCTGCTGCCTAGGCCCGCGGATCCTTTAAGTTTTCCAAAAGCCACCAACAATATGTATCCGAAAGGCGCCCCTGAGCAACCAGCAACAAAATGAGAGCCCTTTAAAACACCTTATGAACACGCTATTAAAAGGACCCCATAGCAAAACGCAGCCAGCACCCTGTCACTGTCAAAATGCGTATCAACATCCAGTTATCAACAACTCGACAACCCTGAGCCCCCAAACCTGAAACCCTGTAAGCCCTAATCCCTAAACCCTAAACCCCCCCAAAGCCCCAAAAGCTCCTAGCCGAAGAAGCCTAAACACTAGACCCCCGAAGCCCTAAAAGCCTTAAGCCCCAAAAGCCCAAACCCTACGTAAACCCTAACCCCAAAAACCCCTCAGCCCTAAACCCCAAACCCCTAACCCTAAACCGCCCTAACGCCTAAACCCTAAACCCTAATAAGGCCTTCCTGGACGGCCCGGAATGCCCGGAATGCCCGGCTTGCCGGGGATGCCGGGGATGAGCCTCGGTGCCTCGGAGCTGTCAATTTACTTACGACCTAGGGTTCAGGGTTTAGGGTTTCGGGTTAGGGCTTTAGCGACTTCGGGTTACCTTTTGAAGGTTTGGGGTTTATGGCTTGGGTTCAGGCTTTAAGGTTTGGAGTTTGGTCTTTCGGGTTTGGCTTTGGACATTGGGCTTTGGGGTTTAGAGTTAATGGATTTCGGGCGGTTTCGGGTGTAATTTCGGGCTTGGGCTTCGCGGTTGGGGTCTTGGCAGTTGGGGCTGAGGAGCTTTTCCCCCGGCTTTGCGGGAGGGTTTCTGAGGTTTTGCATGGTTCAGTGGGCTGCAGAAGATTTGTGGATGGCTCCGTACAAGGGTTTCATGAGGCTTGTGTCCGACGTTACTTGCGTGCTTGGGTTTTCGATGAGGTGTAGGATCATCGCGTGGTTGTTCAGGCTGGGTAGGCCTTTGGGACATTTTGTATTTTCCTTATTTGGGTTTATAAGGGACCCTATATATTAATTTTTTTCAGGGTATTTAAAGGCCAACCCGGAGTTAATTGGCTGCGATTTGGCGACAGAGTATTTTGAGCTGTGGAGCAGTGTCCGAAACTCCTAAACTCTGAACATATCGCGGCCTGCAAGCGCAGAGGGTGGGGTCTCGAGCTACTTTTTTTTATATTCCGAGTTGGGGGTTCTGTGTACTATGTCTCAAAATATTCCATATATCCCGATCTCTGTCTGTCTCGCTCCCTCTCTCTGTCTCTCTCTCTATCTACATATATGCGTATGTATAGAAAAGACATATCAATATAAATGTATATATATATATATATATATATATATATGCATAATTGTCTATATGGTATATCTATATGGGGGGACGTGCGCATGTATATGTATATATATATACACACATATATACATATATATATATATATATATATATATATATATATATATATACACGTTTTATTTATTCACTGACTATGCTGGACTTTTTCTCAACACCCCCGTTCGAAGCACGGTTTGAGAAGGGTTTTCGGTCTTGGATCTCCGGCTTCAGGGAGCCGGTTTCGGGTTTAGGGATTCAGAGTTTAGGGTGTAGAGTTTAGGGTTTAGGATGTAGGGTTTAGGGTTTAGAGTTTAGATTTAAGGGTTTTAGGGTTTGGGGTTTAGGGTTTAGGGTTTTCGGATTTGTTAGGGTTTACACAAGTTTACTGTCGTTTCGGATTCAGGCTGAAGCCAGTAAACCCCTGAAGCAAAATTGGTTTAGGGTTTAGGACCATAAACTCTAAACCCTAAATCCCCAGATTGAACCTCCGTGAAGCCGTTGGTCTAAGCCCAAAGGCCCAAACCAATCCAAACCCTACGCCCTACACCCCCGAACCCGAACTCTGTCAGCTCCTAAACCCTACCTGGGGATCCAAAAGCCTACCGTTTTAGGGGTTGGACCCTTTGATTAAGGCGTCAGAACCTAGGGTTCCCTAAACCCTAAACCCTAAACCCTAAACCCTAAACCCTAAACCCTAAACCCTCAACCCTAAACCCTAAACCCTAAACCCTCAACCTTCAGCCTTCAAGCCGTAACCGCGCCCGAGCCCGGAAGCCACTCAGATATCCCTGGGATGCACATCGACCTCCCGGGGGTCAGTGGCGGCTTCTGGGGAGGCCTGGTGAAGGTTTGGGATCCCGGGTTCAGGTTCGAGGATCGAAAGGTTACTCCTAAATCCTAAACCCTAAACCGCCCAAACCCCAAACCCTAAACTTGCCCTAAACTGTTCAACACTATACCCTGAACCCCAAGCCTTAAACTCTACGCCCCAAATCCCATAAATCCCAAGGTCTTGAGCCCCAAGCAGTTTTCAAGGTTTCTGCATTTCGGGCTGGAAGTCCCTAAATGTGTTGAAAGGCTGTTTTGCTAGGTTTCCTTGCCTTTGGGCTTTACGGATTTGAGCGGATTAGGGTTTAGGGTTTACGGGCTTAGGGTTTAGGCTTGCTGGGTTTCAGGGGTTATTGGGGTTGAGGGTCACTGCGACACACCAACTCCAAAAGGCCTAGGCTCGCACGCAGAAGAGCGCCGAAGACTACCCTAAACCCTAAACCCTAAACCCTAAACCCTAAACCCTTGAGGGCATCTCGGGATCCCTAAACTGGACTCAGCCCCCGACGGCCGCTGTAATTTATCCTAGGACCTAGAGTAGGCCCTTATTCCCTTTTTAAGGGTTCAGGTTCCCTTATAAGCCCCTTTAAACCAAAAAGGGCATCCTTTTTATGCCTGGGTTACTCTTGGGTCTAGTATCTTTAGTGAGGTTTGTCTCGGTTTCGGCAAGGAAGCATTGGTCACACGAGTTTTGCTGCGACTGGCCCTCCTCAAGGGAGCTCCAATTCCGAAGAACCCCCTTAAACTCTGCTAACCCTGAAGCCCGAAACCACCCTAAATCTTGAATCCTAAAGCATAAGCCCAGCATCCACTCTAGATCGTAACTCTAAACTTCTGAACCCCAAGCCTGTCATTTAGTATTGCCAGTTGTTCTGGCCCGCACACTAAACCTGTTTCAGAAGCGGTATAGTAACCCACTGAAGGAATCCTTACGTAATCCACCGGAAAACCACCGGGCATCACACTGATTCCTCGTTCATGCTTGTAGGGCACCTTTGAGAGTGCCTTTTTCATGCTTGCAGAAGCCTTACGCAAAGCCGTTTCATTGCCATGAAGATTAGAGGGGTCTGATTGTGTTAGCAATACCGCTCAGTCCCTCCATTGGTGGTATTCCGACAAAAAGGCACATGCGTAATACATAAGAGCGCTTTATACATCTATTGTATACCTCCATGCGCAAGCCTACGTAACAAAACCCTTGCAACGATTACAGACCCGTAGACCTATTCCACCGCAGGAGGAGGCTGGGGAGGAGGAGGTTGGGGATCCAACAACCAGAACAACCCAGCAGGCAACTTGTCGGTATAATTAGTTACCCAGGGCTTTCGGGTTTGCTTTCAGGGTTTCTTTTAACGGGTAGATTCAAAGGGTGGCATCAGGATCTGACGGGCTTCAAGGGCTTAGGGGCTCTAGATGCAGTTCGTAAGCGTTGCAGAGCAGTGTACAGGAATTTTGGCAGGCTTCGTGAGGGAGCGTAGCAAGAGGAGCTGGTTTGTAGGTGTATCTTATGCTTTCTTTCGAAAGTCGAAGGGCAGCATGCCAGGCTGGCAGGGGGTTAAGTGGCGATATCGAAAGCGTAACTGCGCATGGGGTCGAGTCATCAGCCTGCTTCTGCGTTGCTGGACCCTGTACCACAACTCACAAACGCCTGCAGCCCGCGTTCGAACATCGAACGCCTTATATAAGCCGTTTCCAAAGACTGCTGTCAGACCTACAGCATGCAGCAGCTCCGTGAAAAGCCGCTTGAGAATCCGTTGAACGGCCCTAAGGCCTGCCCCACTACTTGAAGGCTCATGGGACTTAGTAAGTCTGGTTATAAGTAAGTTATAATTAGGATAACCCCACTTAGGGGACTTATAACCCCAGTTATAACCTACTTACTAAGTCCCATGATCCTCCAAGTAGCCGCCCTAACACACGGTTGAGGATATAGGGTCTATGGGGATTCGACCGGCCTGGCGGCTCGGCGCGGATTGTAGGTCTAGGGTGTAGTTCCTGGCGAGCTTAGCTGCTATGATTCCACGACCTTCCAAAATCCCTTAATTAAGGAATATACCTTAAATTATAGTAAGGTCCCTAATCTGATTTAAGGTATATTCCTTAATTAAGGGATTTTGGAAGGTCTGGGATTCCACGACCCCTACAAAATCAATCCTCGAAAGACTGTACAATCTTGATAATGAAGCGGTAAACAGCGCTACAGAGAAGGCCTTTGAACATTTCAAAGGCGCCCACCCACTACCCGAACCCCCAGAAGGCTAGAAGACCTTCGGACCCGGAAGACGCTGATAGAACCCTCACCCGGACTGACTGTAAGCCCTATAGAAGTCCCTGTGAGCCTGGATGGAGGTTCAAAGGCCATAGTAAGCAGGGTAATAAGAACAAACCTTAATCTGCTTGCTAAGTCTCCTGAAGCCTTAAGATGGTGCCATATGGACACGAGATAGAGGTCTCAAAACCGTCGGCACATTTGGCGGTCGGGGTGCTGTCGCCTCGGCAACCGGGCTGCATTGCAGGTAACATAGGTTCAGGGGGTTTAGGATCTTAGGGTCTAGGTACCAATCTCATTTCTGGGTTCCTTGTTGTGACAGTGCTATAGTAGAATATGCTCCAAAACCCCTAAGCCTAAACCCCTACCCTAAACCCCAAAACCTAAACCCCTAAACCCCTAAACCCTTATACCCTAAGCCCCGAAACCCATTTCTAACTATTGAGGCCCCGAAAGTACCAAGGCCCAGGTTCTAAGCTGTTTGAACCGGCTGGATGGTAAGTCCCTGATGCTTTTCATTCCCTGTAGCCGGAAAGACCTACCTTTTTAGGGTTCCATACTATGGTTTCTATATCTATATATATATATATATATATAATTCCTTAAAAAGGTAGGTCTTTTCGGCTACGGGCCTGGTTTGCTGTAGATGACCGGGTTTTTCGGCGTGCGCCGGGTTCGGGTTCAGGGTTCCCAGGTCGCTATGCTTGCCTTTGGCTAGTAGGAATGGAAGAATCCCTATGCCTCCAGGGACCTTATTATGGGGTCCTTAAGGGGTCTAGGGCCCTAACTATGAGGTCCTTGGAGGGATCGGGAATGGTAGGAATTGTAGTTATAATTGTATCCCACTCCTTCATTCCCTACGAGCCAAAGGTAAGTATGACAACATGTTTGGAGTGTGGGCAAAAGCTTTCATACCGAATTCGAAGCAGTAAAGCCTGACTTTGAACACTCCTCAATAAGCCAACCCACAGATCGAGACGTTTGTGGGCTTCCCTAGAACCAAGCTCTAAACTGCTTCAGGAAACCCTGAACCCTAAACCCTAAAGTACTTACGGCTTGCGGGGGTTTGGGGATTTAGTGACGCGGGATCTGAGGTCAATGCTGCGGAGGCGCAAGATGTCAACTGCAGCATCATGATGCTTGGTCTAATTGCATGAACGCTTTTTTGGGTCCCTTGAAGGGACCTATAAGGGTTTCCATATACAATAGTTGGGTCCTTGAAAGGGATCTATAAAGGCTTCCTATGGGGTTTCCATAAGGGCAGTTCTCGTAATTAGAGTCCCTATAAAATGAGGGTGCCGTGGTATATTGGGGACCTGACCTAACAGGGGTCATAAGTTTGAGAACTTGCCAGTCATAGTATCTACTGTACAGGTTCATAGACCCCTAGGGCCTACTCAAAATTGCCTGAGGTGACGGGCCTCAGAACCTCTGGCAGCTGGCGTGAAGCGTCGGCATGCCGGATAGCACAGCAGCACCGATATCCAACAGGGGTTAAGGTTCGGTATAGAGCCCTACAAGCCCCATAAACCTTACAGTGTTCAGGTCCTATATGCTAACATCCTAGACAACTTCCTGATTTTCCCATACCGACAAGTGACCCTAAACCCCAAACCCTAAAAGCCGTGAGACCCCTGTCAGCAGCCTGAACACCCTACGCCCTACGCCTACACCAAACACTAAAACCTCAACCTTGACAACCCCAAGAGCGCAGAACCCGGGGCCGTTCTGCAAGTCAAGGAGCCGCTCGCGTAGAGCTTCAGATTACGTGTAAGTAGAGTGTGATTACCTTCTGTAGTTTTGTTTAGACATGTCTATACTCGCCCTCCATGTTCCTATAGTACTCATACCCTACCAGAGCCCACCCAAAATCTAAACCGTTAAAGGAACCTATATGCAACCTACTTCGCCCCCTGATCCTTCGAAGCACACTCCTGCATACATATACTCTAAAGCCTATGTCGACCCTACACCAGCCAACCTTCCGCAACTAGGGAACAGCGACGTTCTTTCGGTTTCATCTCTCCAGGCAGTCGCTTGCGAAGAGCGCATGGTTTAAGAAATGAGCGCTGCACAGCACAGCTTTGGTGTTTTGTTTTTCCTAGTTGTTGTTGGTTTTGCAGGGCAAGGCTGCTTTTTTGTGCTGAAGTTTGGGTCCTTAAAGGGTTGCTATGAGGGCCTTCAAAGTGGTTCTATGATGTTTGTTGGTGGGGCGTGGTAAGGGTTTGGGATTGATAGGCTGTTTGCGGTGTTTCGGAGTTGGGGGCGCTGAGGGGAATTACAAAACTGGGGTTGAGTGGGGGGGGAATCAGAGACTCCACCATTGTCCTTACATCCACACTGCACCCTACTACTAGTTTTAGGTGACCCTACCTTAACCCCGAAGAACCTACATTTTTAAGGACTTATATAAAGAATTCATAATAAGGAACCCGCAAAAAGGTAGGTTATTCAGGGTTAAGGTAAACTTTAGTTGGACCCTGATCCCCCTAAGCCCTGGAGACTTTCGGGGTTTCGGGATGTCTCCGGAGTGTTAGGGTCTTTATTCCATCGCGGTGGGCTTCGATTCTGTTTGCAGGCTTCTAGATTACGGGGTTCAGGGTTGGGACGTTTTCACTGGGATGCTAGGTTAAAGGCTCAAACTACTTACTTACTAACCCAGTAAGGTCAAGGGTGTACCTTGCAGCGCAAGTCTCATGACCTGCTAAGAGTTTAGATCTGGGCTTCAGGATCTGGGTTGATTCAGGCTTTCCTCTGGTAGGGTCCTGGAATTCTACGGGTCATGTAGCAGCTTGAATATTTAGCAAAAAATACAAGTCCCAGGTTTCCTTGTCACAAGTATAGTTATGGTGTACTACACCCAAGATCATACTGTCAGTGTAAGGGTTGCTATGTTCACTTGGCGGAGGCAGCAGAAGGACGCCGCGCACTGGGCCAAGTTGGCCGACATGTTGGACACCAACAACTCAGGCCGGTTCGTAGGGTGCAATTCAGGCTTTAGGCTTCAGGATTTTGGGCTTAAAGTGTCCTGCTTGTGGGGGTTAGGTGTTGCAGCTTTACCTGCAAATCCGAACATTACAAAATTGTAGGGTCTGACGGTTGAAGCTTCTAAACCGTAGGTAATTCGAGCCAAAGCTAGGGTGTCAGGTTTCGGAGTAGTTTAGGGCTTCCGGAGATCGAGAGCGTGACTGCTTCGTTGTAGGGTATATCCTCCAAAATACTACTGTAGGGAACCCTAAACCCTAAGCACCTAGCGCCTGAAGCCCTGAACCGTAAACATCCCGGAACGATCTGCGATGTTCCCTGAGATCTTCCGTGCAAGGGCCCCATCTATACCTGAACCCCGGACCCTAGGGTTTTAGGGTTTAGAGTTTAGGGTTTAGGGGTTGAGAGTTTAGCGTTTAGAGTCTAGAGTTTAGGGGTTTAGAGTTTAAAGTTTAGGGTTGAGGGTTCAGGGTACTCCGTTTAGATTTCACAGACTCTACTGTTATTCTTGTATCGCACCATGCACAAGCCCTTCAGCACCAGGTAAGCACATCCCAAAGCCCCAACCCTTGCACAAACCACTGAACAAAAGCACGGATGAACTCCCTATAGCATTACCCTAAACCCTACATCCTAAAAAGCCTAAACCCCAAGCCCTACTTCCTACAAGATCTAAGCCCTACACCATAGCCCGTAGCACGCAAAGCCAAAGCTATTGAAACTTCGGGGACCCCCTAAACCCTGGAGTATCCCTTACCGGACCCCGTAAAAAAAAAAAAAAACCTGAAAGGAACCCTAACCTCCTGACCCTGAAACCCTTGTGGTACCCTAAAACGAACCCTATACGATCCCTTTAAAGGATCCCTTATAGGAGCCCTTAAAGGAACCCTAAAGGGGCCCCTTCAAAGGAACCCTTGAAATCCTTACTTAGCAACTTTCGAATCTTTTAAAGGATCCCTTAAAGGCCGCCTTAAAGGAACCCATATAGGACTCCCTCGAAGGACCCAGAGACTCCAATACCCCTTAATTAAGGAAAATATACCTTAAAATATTAGTACTGGGGTATTGGAGTCTCTACTTGGAGGGTCGGGGGACTTAATAACTGGCTATTTTAAGGACTTATGCTTATGAGTACCATAACCCCAATAGGGTCCCGTTTAGCGTACTTATAAGTCTACTTACTACCTATAAGTCCCCCGACCCTCCAAGTAGGAACCCCGAAAGCCACGAGGAACGCTTTCTTTCCTCGAGTTGGCCCGGGGCCTCCGCTGGACCGGCGAAAGCCCGCGCCCCACCGAGGCCAGACCCACGGGGGGGCTGGGCCTGGGGTTTCTTTAAAGGGGTTCCTTAAGGGGGTTCTTGCCTTCTTGCTTAAATTTGGAACAAGAATAAATAACCGTATTATTCGTAAGAATAGCAATACTAAGGGTGTAGTGTGCTATTATTGCTATTATTACGATTTTTCTTTTATTCTTACGTAAGATGCGCAACGATCTAATTAGTGTTTGCTTTGTGTGTTTTTCTCTGGATTGTATTTTTGGGGCTTCCGGTATTTTTTGGGATTTAGGGTTGCGTTCAAGATTTCTTAAGGGCTTGTCGCTTCAGGAGCTTATGGGGCTTTTGGGGTTTAGGGTTTAGGACTTTGGATGATTTTGGGATTTCTCCGTTCGAGGATTTTGATGCACATCTGGTCTTTTTGGTGTTCGTTTGTTTGCCCGGAGGAAGAAGCCGAAGTGTTCGTCAGTTAGACAAGTTTTTCATTCAGGGCATACGCTTCCTAGGCTTTCATGGGCTCTGATCAGGATTTACGGTGGCGGGATCTAGATCGAAGGCCAGGGTTTGTGTTTGGAGTTTGGGTCCGGGGCAGTGGTGTTTGCAGAGCTGCAAGAACATTCAGGTATGTGCGTGTGCGTATCCTGAAGCAATGCAAACCTTTCGGCTTGAGGATCAACGGATTAGGATTCAATATCTCTTGCCCCTAAACCCTAAACCCTAAACCCTAAACCCTTACAGCCTTTGGGTTTTCTGTGGGTCGGAGGCTGGCCCCGCACGGTCATGCAAGTAAACTTGCGCTCCTCGACCCCATAAACCCCCCAAAGCTTAAACCCTGAACACCCGAAGCCTTACCCTCCGAACCTATCCGCTCGCAAACCCTCGACTTCTCAAATTCACAGCCCTAAAGCCGCAAATCCTCAATCAAGAACCTCCTACAGCTCCAACGTCGTAGGCCTGCAACCTCGAAGCCCAAGCAACACCTTTTCCCACAGCTCGACGTCAACAGAAACCCTGCAACCCCTACACTGCAACCCTCAACTCTGGAACCCTAAACCCTAAACCCTAAACCCTAAACCCTAAAGCCCTAAACCCTAAACCCTAAACTCTGCAACTCCTCAACCCTGGAACCCCCAAGCCCTCTAACTTCAATCCTGAAGGCTGAACCGCAAGCCTCAACCCTGAACCAAGGTCCACGGCTTTGAGGAGGTCCTCGGCCACCGCGAAGCAGGGGCCTCTTCTCCGGGGCTTACTTAAGATCGGGAGCTTAGGGTTCAGTGGTTCGGCGTCCAGTGCCCTTGATCCATAAAAAAGGAAGGGTCGCGATTCGTGGTGTATTGAAGCCCAAAACAATCCTGAGCCCCATTTCAACCTGACGGCCCAAGTTCCTGCAATCTCGTTCCTGTCCCGTGCAGAGCTACGGGCGATTTAACTTGTTTCAGTAGGGGTCTTGTTGCCAACTCTAGAAGCAATTAAGAATCATAACACCCTCCCTCAGTTGCAGTGCTATGAACTTTCCTTGACTGGCAGCGGGTTGCGTGGGGTCAAGCCTTCGAGCAACGCCTGCGGACGTTGATTGAAGATCGCTGTGCAAATCCTCTGTTTGGATCTGCCAGGGGCATGCGAAGGGATCTCTAATGGTGATGTGCGTTTGATTTCGCCTTAGCAGGCAATCGAGGACAACTTGAACGCCTACGACCATCAGTTCAAGAGAAGCAGGGTTTAGGGGGTTTAGGGCCTAGGGGTTTGGGGTTTAGGGATTTCCAGCTTTCTCTTTGCCCCACTCTGTGAAGGCTCCCTCGACTGTTAACAACTCCTTCTCTGTGCAGGAGTGCTTGGGGCTAGGAGTCCAAAGTATTCCACAACCGTATACGCTTTAGTCTACTTTACGATTATCCAAAACTCAAGTACGTACTCATCGTATGAAAATGGGCCTTGGTGGTGCCGTGATTTCCAGGGAGTTAGCTGTCAGCATTTGAAAAATTATGGAGGAACCCATCTCTTATCGAACAAACACACCCGCTGCAGAATCACTTGTGGATTTTTGATGGTCATGGCAATGTCATGGCTGTTACAATTTGCGCATGTCCTTGGGGATTTTCCTGATTGGGGGCACAGGAGGGAGGAAAACATAGATCACACCCTGAAGCTCGGTCATC